ACCCAAAAGTCCCGGGCGGGGGGTTTGGAAAAGGCAGCCCGAACCCGGGGCTTCTTTTGGGGGAAGGGGGGGGACTTCTTCTTCAAAAACCTTGTGACCCCAGGGTTGGGGGGGTGGGGGTTTTGAAAAAACAGTGGGGGGGGGTTTGTTGTGGGTTGGAGTCTTTCCTTTTCCCCCCCCCCCCCCCCCCACACACACAATCGACTACGGCATGCGTTAACATGAGTGCACCCCCCCTCAACCAATCCCCTCCCTTCCGTTCTCCCCGCCTCCCCAGACCCAGCTCGCCCGGGTACACAAATTGATTCCGTCGTTGGCCGGACCGACGAGCTGCACGGTCAGCACGTTTGCGCAGCCACGATCGGGCGAAGTACTACTACTTCTGCAGAACGGCCCCGGGAACTGCAACAACACCATCAACTGCAGCGAGAACGGAGAAAGCAGTTCCGAAGTCGGCGATGGCCAACAAGGCCGGCAGAAACCAGGACGCGAACACTTTGACGGGATGGCAGCAGCAGCAGCAGCAGCGATGGCGGCGCCACGTAGTGACTCTTTCCTCCCCTCCACGGCGGCCGAGACCGGCAAAACAACAACAAATGACGAGGACGGGCGTCATCTTTTGCGGTTATTTCCGCGGGGGAGGCATCCTCCGGCTTCGTTGCCGAAGGGAAGAAGGCCAGGAGGAGGAGTAGCAGCGGAGAAGAACACAACGAGCGCGCTGGGTGGTGGGGCAGGGTCTAGACGTTCGCGCAGCGGGGCCGCCTTCTTGGCGGCCGAGTACGCCATTGGACGGGTTTCGCACGGCACCAGGCGATCGGTGGGGCACCCGGTGGTGAGCGAACGAAGTTTTTGGCGTCCTTGCGTGCGTCCGTGCGTGCCTTTGGGTGGACGTGGTTTTAGCAATAAAGGCGCATGGTGCTGTTATTGGGTTTTGATGCGCAGTTCTCTCTATTGTTTGTGTTGCTCCAGCTTGAAACTACGATGATGGCGTACATGAAGAGTAGGCAGTATTCTACCATTGGAGTAATGTACCCTTTTTGTGTGTCTTCGAGTATTGGTGGTTCAGCATACTGTACCGGCCGAGCCCCGGCTCCAAAGTTCGATGTTATGGCGCATTCTCCCCGGCCCGGCTCCTTGAAGACAGATGTGAAGAATCGTTCCAACTTGGGTCGGCGTGGCATGGAAGGCGTTCGAGGAGTGACGAGGTGATTGATTCAATACTGCTGTGCAGGAGTTTTGGTCAAGACCCCGAATGAAGTCGATGGAATCTCTCTTGCGACAAAGCGATACAGAGACACGTGCTTCCGCACATTCATCCCTCTGCCCACACAAAAAAACATGACCGTACACAGGACGTGGCTAGGCTGGACTTCAAACTTTCGAGCAGGCGTCAAGAAATGGCGGCAAGGCGAGAGGAGGAAAGGTATTGACAAGAGAACCTTCCTTATCTATGCAAGACCCTATGCTAGGCCTCTGCTGTTATAGCACCCCCCGAAAATAAGGCGAGGCCTGCCCATGGTGCAATAGGCCTGCCCGACGGACAAGAAGCAGCACCTGTTCATTTTCCAAGCCATTCAGCCCTACTCCATTCATCATCATCTCTTGCTAGGGGGGGGGGCAGTACTGCTGACGAATCAACGGCAACAAACACCCTTTAGATCCCGAGTCCCGTCCCAATTTCCAGTCGTCACGACGTCTTGGTTGCGTAGTAGGTGTTCATAGGTTTATCTTGCTCACACGAAGCATTGACACGAGTGTACCCGACACGTTTCGGACTTTGCTCGCATAGATTGGGAGCGATTGTGGTGAGCATTTGAACGTCGTTTCGCTTTACGCTGTAGGTTCAACGGGTAAAAGTCTATTCTGTAGGCGCACGTGCAGCGATATTCATCGTGCATGATGGTCGTGATGGTCGGATGTTTCGCAATTCCTCCAGAGAGCCGGGCCGAAGGTTGTTCGTGGGCTGGTACCGTCCTCGTGATCAACGAACAATTGGTGGTTGTCGTCGTCGTTGTTTGTTGTTGTTGTTGTTGTTGTGGCTGGTATCGTTGTTTGTTGTCGTTGTTGTTGAGTTATCTCTGCATATGCCTGCCTGACGTATGGATGTACACACGTTGTGGTGATGTACGGATGCAGGCTGGGAGCGAGGAAACGGCAGCAGCAGCGCCGGGAGTGGCTCTCGGTTTTGTGTACGGTCGTCCCGCTCATCGCGCTGGCTGAAAAGCTCGAAGCAGATGACGCCGCCGTCAAAACGACGAAAGCGACAAACGATGGAGCCTAATGTACTCACGAACTGAGAAAACCCACGGGGCGGCGGTTGGTTTGGGAGCGTGGCGATGCGCGTACCTTTCAAAGCGGAGAGGCGTTCACACTGCTGCATGTCAGAGCCGCGAGGGAACGAAAGAAGGAGGGCAGAGTGGGTGGGTGGGGGGGTGTGTGACCGTCGCGCGGTCTGCTCTCCCGTTGATCAGGGTGTGGCGTGGTGACGTCGTGATTGCACGACCGACATGCTTCGTCATGACCACTTCGTAGCTTACATTTGAGGAAGCCCCGCCGCTTCGTAGCAGCTGCAGCTTTGGCAACAGCGGCGCCGAAAAGTCTTGTGACCCACGTTTAATCTCGGCGATGGAACAAAACCGACTCCAGTCACAACATTTGACAGTTTTCTATCCGACACGGGAACCTCGTAAACCTGAAGGTCCACTGACTGATGCCGAGTCACTTTCAACACGTTTTTTCCCCGGACGTTGTTGTTCACTGGAATCGCGACATGCCGAAACTCCCCACATTGGTTCCCATCTCCGTGAGAACGAAGTAGGACAAGGAAAAAACGCCTCCTTCGGCTATTCCCTCCCTTTCTTATGTGGGAATTTTCACGGTTCGCGGGCAAAATGGGGCGGACAATGAAGGGCCTCAAGGTTGTCTTGTTTCGCTCGGGGCATCTGAGAAGCCAGGATGCAGTTAGTTGGAGAAATTTCTTCAAGCACCAGACGCTCTGAGCCGGGCTTCCGTAGATAGAGAAAGCCCCGTGTTCATGCGCTGAACCGTGGAAAATGACAACAAGTCGCGGGGTTATGTAGCTTTCAGCCCCCATATCGTGGCTGGTGGAGATCGGATCACAGCTGTACTTCTAAAACATGTTGTCTTTTATTCCTTCGTCGCACTCGCATAAAAGTGTATGCCACACCGGTACGTATGCGAACCATCAGACATTACCGTGCATGAGCTAGACTGCATTCATTCACCAAAGAAGCCCCTCCCCCCTCCCAACAACAGATCTACATCTACACCAACAAATCCGCGGTACGCCTCTCTTCTCTGTCAACGTGCCGAATCCCCCCGGCGGCAGTCGTGGGCAAGTGTGTATCGTATCGTACGAGGAGAGCTCTACAGAAAAAAACAAGAAGACAAGATGC